CAGAGGTGAGAACTGATTTATAAAAAGTCATCCAACAAATCAGCATCAAGCCTGGGAAGATGGGAGGTCAGAAGTTTATGTTTGTCCACAGCTCACTAGCCTGACTAGTGCTGTCTGGCCCACGAGTATATCCTAAGAGATTGGCACAGTGTAGATTTACTCAGGTGTGTTAGGTGTTGGGTTGCCTGATGAGTGCTGTTGTCAGTACAATTCAGAGAGAACAAGAGAGAGACCTGTACACAGATCTACAGGTCCTGTTCTAGCTGTGCAAAGAAAAGCTCTCCCTTAGCAAAAAACCTAAAAGGGCAGAATCACCTGAGCTCATTTATGCAATGACAAGTAAAAAAGAGTTTCAGCCTAGACCACTTTTAAAAGTAACCTTTGGAAATTTAGAATAAATATCCCTTTAAGAATAAGAATTACTTTTTATGTTGCTGAAGAATTTTCAAGATAGAGTAATAAAAGTGGTTCTACACAAAAGACAGAGGGAATTGTCAAATGTACAGAGATCACAAGCTCAAAACAGAAAGTATGTTTTCAGTAAACTGTCAGGCACGAGATATTTCAGAAGTCCAGATGTGCCTTTGACTCTTCTTCTGTCTATCACAAGCACATACATTATATAAAGCCTTCTCCCCAGTTAAATGATCTTGTTCTGTCCCAAAGCTTGTTAGGGTTCTTGATGCAATTAAAGGAACTGTTGGTGCAAACACGAATGGGGATTTCTGACAAACAACAAACATTGATACTGATTTTCTCAGTGCATCTTTCAGCTCCGTAGGGCCCACTCACTCATGTGAGACCCTAGGCAGTCCTTACCGATGTCTTTACACCAGTATTTTGTAAGCACCATTAAAAGATTAGTAGGCTGAAGGAATTTATGAGACATGGAGAGAAGCATGAATGAGTCTAGCAAAATTATTTGAGAAGGTTTAAGATGTCCATCCAGCTTAATATCATCTCTCAAGCAGTGGGAAGGAGTAGATGCTTGGGAAGGGTAAGCAAAATCAGTCATCCCTGGTTTCCTCTCTTATAGCTGTCCAAGGACTTCTGAAATGGAGTTTCCATCAGGACCATTGAGTTATATAATTGCTGGTAGAATGTTTTTGGTGAGTTTGTCTGTTTGTTTTTGAATTAGCTAATCTCTGATAGGATGTCCCTTTGCTGTGTTAAAGGAGTAGATTTGAATCTACAAATTTTAATTACCTCCACAGGCAGTATAAATTTTAAAAACTTCTTCTGCTTCCTCAAGTCTGCTGATCACCCTGTGCATAATCCAGACCTGTCACTCTCTTGTGAGAAGTGTTTGCTGAATGGACACAAAAGTCTCTCCCTAGAGGAAGAAAATTACAAGATTTTAAAGGCAGTTTTCAGTCTCATAAAGATCAGATTTAGCACATGCTAAATTATCTGTGATGCTTAAAAGCAGACATGTATTATCCTGTCTAAGTGATTACTAAGAGAGGGGTGGAGTAGTTAAATCTGTACTAATTGCCCTATCCAGGGAAGCAGGAATGCCAATGTGTTTGTATCATCCATACTTCATGCAACCTGAATATATAACCCATCATACCTGCTGGCAGAAGTATTAAATCCATTTCTGGGGAGATTTGTAGTGATTTCAAGTGATAAACACCTCAGAAGGGGCACAGGGGAAAGGCAGGAATGGACTGCAAGGTGCCAACTTCCCTTGTCCATTCTGGCCTAGCACTGTAGTACCACTGGTGAAGACAAGGACAGTAACCTTGGGGTGATGCACCTTCAGCTACTATATCAATTAATTCAGGATGGTTTTAGAGAGGTTGATTGTCAGTGATCAGTAGGTGCTGTCACAGCAGAGGGCAAACATCAGAGCACTGTATGCAATGCCTTGGCACAGGTGTCCTAAGTGCCTACAGCATTCATCCCCATGCCTGCTGATGGGCTAGTCCTGCCTGCCAGACCTCCTTGTCCCCAGGCTGCCACCACCTGAACCCACGGGACGGGAGATAATGTTAACTAGAACTGCCAGGGAGTGGTGGTGCTGTTCCAGTTATGGAATGGGATAAGTGGAACAGCCATGAGGACCTTCAAAATTGCCAACACATCCAGGACACCTGAGAGGATGCCTAATACAACCTACCCCACAGCCTCCATCTGCCGGGCTGCCTCACCTGCTCAGAGGTTTTCTGTACTCAGGGAGGGAGGGAATTTCTCATTTCCCATCGACACAGACCCGCGTCCTTTGGGCAAGGGGTGCGTGTGCGCAGAGAGGATCGCGGAAGATAGAGATGGAGCATCCCTGTCTAGCCCTAATGCCACCCTACAGGCATGGTGCGCACAGAAACGGCAGGGAGAGAAGAAGCGGAGTTAAAGGGGGGCAGGACGCTGGGCAACGCGAAGGAGTAGGGAGGGAAGGAAGAAAGCGGGAAAAAAAAAAAAAAAAAAAAAAGAAAAAAAGGAGGAGAAAGGGGAGGAGATGAAAAGCAAGGGGAGAAGGGAGGACCGGGCGGGGAGGAGGCGAGAGGCCGGGGAGGAGAGGAGGGAAGCAGCTCGGCAGAGGGGGACGGACGGGACGCGGCGCCCCGCGGGCCATGCGCCTCCTGGCTACGGCGCTGGCCG